CTGGCTCCTTTGTCAAGGATAAGGGGGCTGAGTGTGTTTGAAGTTGTTTCTATGTCTTCTAATCTGTTCCTTGGGAATCGGTTTTTGGTTTTTTTTTTGGTACCGGGAATCAAACTCAGGACCTTGCGCTTGTAAGGCAGGTGGCGGACCCACTGAGCTAAATTCCCGGCCTGGGAATCATTTTTTGCTAGTACCGTGCTGTTTTTATCACATTAGCTTTGTAGTATAATTTCAAGTCAGAGATTGTGAAGGAGCCTGTTTTATGTGCCTGTCAGAGGCTTGCCAGTGGTCTTATCAAGTGGTGAGGGTATTAGCTACAGCTGTGAGTCAGGGGCTCACAGTCTGAGTATGCCTTTCTGTGATGGCCCTACTATAACAGTTCCTGTCCGAGATTTAGACAGTACATAAATATTAAAAACACATTCAATGACAGGGGTCATAATAATAGCTCTTTAGAGTCTACAGCACATTGGCTATGCACTAGAGCTGGCATGGGGAGGGCAACATTTCCCCCATGACACCTGCCAGAGAAAGCCTTTGTATTGCCTGTGATTGGCTGAAAATTCACACAGGTTTATAACCAGGAGCCAGCTTGCCATGCAAGTTTTCAAGCAAATAGCAATTCATGTAGTCAACATCACAGTCAGGACTCCTAATGGTTGCATCACCTCCTCTGTGAGAAGATAACTGTGTCTTCATGTTCCCTTGAATCTGGGGTCAGTTGATGTGTTCTCTGTTGCTACAGATTTGAATTTTCCAGGGCGTCATGTGAATGGAATCAAAATATGTAACCTTATCTTTGAGACTGATCCAGTTTGGATCCTTTGTATCACTGAGTGGTGCCACTGAATACTTTCTCACTGTGTGGAAGCACCAGTCTGTTTTTCCATTTTCCTGTGAGTGCTCACACTTTTTAGCACTTAAAGGATTCATCTGCAAATAGGCTTGAACATAAGTTTTCATGTGAACATACATTTTATACTTATATATATATTTTTTGTTTGTTTGTTTGTTTTGGTACCAGGGATCGAACTTGGGTCCTTGTGCTTGCGCAGCAGGTGGCGAAACCACTGAGCGAGCTAAATCCCCAGCCCTTACGTGAACATACATTTTGAACTCACCTGAGAGTAGGAATTCTGGGTCCTATGGTAAATCTAACAACTAACTGAAATGCTTTTCAAGTTTGTACTTTTTTTTTTTGGTACTGGGGATTGAACTTGTGCTTACAAGGCAGGGGACGGAACCACTGAATCCCCAGCCCTTGTACCATTTTTCGTTCCTACCATAGTGAGAAGTAATGTTACTCCACATCCTTATCAACATTTGTCAGTTTTTAAAAGACATTTAGCCTTCTAATAAGAATACAGTAATACCTTGCCTTAGTTACTTTTCTTCATTGCTGAGACAAACTACACCCAAATTTAAAGGAGGAAGTTTTATTTATCTCACAGTTTATAGAGGTTTCAGTCCATAATCAGCTGGCTCCAAGACATTGTGGTTTGTCAGAGGGGCAATGCAGAGGAGAACCAGTTCATGGCATGCAGAAGACAGCAAAATCAAGCAAGCAAGGGAGAAGACAACTCTTTCTGTCCTTTAAATTATATCCAGGCTACTGGGATTAGGGTGGTGCCAAACAAATTAGTGGACTGATTTAGCGATCACATACTCTAAATCCTCGTGCCCTTGAGCCTAGCATTGCACTATGAGTCAATTCCAGCATTACACACGCTCTAGATCCAGCTACCTTATGACCACATGAGGCTTTGGGGAGACATCTAAACACAAGCCATAACATATCTCATGGTTTTAATTTGTATATTCCTTTTGAAGAATGACATCTAATGTCTTTCAGATGTTTATTTTGCATCCATATGTCTTCGGTGAAGTGTCTGCCCGTTTTTAAAAATAGAGTTGTTAGGGCCGGGGATTTAGCTCAGTGGTTTCGCCACCTGCTGCGCAAGTGCAAGGACCTGAGTTCGATCACTGGTACAAAAAAAAAATAGAGTTGTTGGTTTTCTGTTGTTGTTGTTGTTGTTGTTGGTTTTCTTATAGCATTCTTTATATTCTGAATATGAGTGCATCAGCAATTAGGTGATTTGGAAATATTTTCTCCCAGTCTGTTCTAGGTCTTTTTTTCTTTTCTTTCTTATTTGTGGTATTGGGGCTCAAACCTAGGCATGCTGTACAATCAGCTACATCCCTAGCCCTTCTATTTTTTGTTTTGTGATAGTCATGCTGAGTTGTCCAGATTGGTCTCAAACTTGTAATCTTCCTGCCTGCCTCAGCCTTTGGAATAGCAGGGATCATGGATATGTACTACCATGCCTGGCATATTTTGTTTTAATGTTATCTTTTACCGGGCCGGGGATATCATCAGTGGTTCCGGCGCCTACCTGGCAAGTGCAAGGTCCTGTGTTCGATCCCCGGTACCAAAAAAAAAAATCTTTTACACAGCACACTGCAATACTGGGGTGAACGCAAGGCTTTCACAATGAGCTATATCCCCAGCCTATTTTATTTTTTATTTTGATCCAGGGTCTCATTAAGTTGCCAAATGACCCAAATTTGCTCAAATTTGAGATAATCCTGCCAGAGTTGTGGGATAACAGGCATGTGCCACCATACTCAGCTTTTTATTTTGAGACAGGGTCTTGCTGAATTTCCCAGGATAGGCTCGGACTTGCAGTCTTTCTGGCTCTGCCTCCTAGAGTGCTAGGATTATAGATGTGTACTACCATGACTGGCTAAACATTTTTAATTTTGAAAAAGTCCACTTTATCTTTTTTTTACTTAAATTGGTCAGGCTTTTGATATTAAATCTAAAAACTCACTGCCAAACCCACAGTTGTGCAGATTTTCTCATAGAGCCTTTATAGCTTTATGTTTTGCATTTAGATGTATGACCCGTTTTGTGTTACTTTTTATATATGAGGTATGTGTTTAGAGTTTAGGGTTTTTTGTTTGTTTGTTTTTTGCTTATACGTTGTTCTAGCACTTTTTATTTTGATGTGGAAACTTCCTACATTGCCCCGGCTGGCCTACAATTCATTATCCTCTTTACCCAGCTTCTCCTGAGTAGCTAGGATTACAGGTGTGCAGTACTATGCTTGTCTACCATTTCTTGAGTAGTCTCTCTGTTCTTTGGATTTTTATGCAAAATCAATTGAGTGTATTTCTGGAGATTTACTTCTGAGCTATATATTTTATTGAGCTGTATATTTATCTTTTCACTAATATCATGCTGTGTTGACATTTCAGGCATCTCATATATATATATATATATATATATGTACTCTTTTAAAACATTTTTTAAAAATTTATTTCAGTCATGAAACTTTATTTTTGAAGTACATTCAGACTCTTTTACTCTGCACTCATTTTTCTTTCTTTCTTTTTTTTTGGTACTGGGGATCGAACTTGGGACCTTGCACTTGCGAGGCAGGCCCCAGAAAAACTGAGCTAAATCCCCAGCCCTTTCCATAAGGTTTTTGCAAATCATACGTGTACTGTGAACTTAGCCCACACATTACATAAATAAATGTAGCTTGACTCTATGAATTTTGGGGACAATTTTTTTTTTTTGGTCTGGGGATGGAACTCGGGACCTTGTGCTTGCTCGGCAGGCGCTGGAACCACTGAGCTAAATCCCAGGCCCCAAGGATAACTTTTTAATCTCTCCATATAATACTCATATTTGAGGCAAGAAGTTAATCGTATTTGATACTATTTTTTCATTGATCTAAACACTGAGTTACCCCTTTAAGGCTCCAGCTTCATGAGGAAAGATATCCTGTTAGATATCTATTTGCGGGGCTTGCTCTAAGCTTTTCTTTCTTCTTGTGGGTCTTTTGTAGCTGTTGGAGTTAACATGCTCAAATGTACCTGAGTTCAGGGAAACCTAGCCTCTGCCTTTCCCCCCCAGGTTTCAGATTTCACGTTAAAGGAGACCAAGATCATCCCCATGATCATTTTCCCACATGTCTGTTGTGTTCTCAGTGTGTGTGTGTGTGTGTGTGTGTGTGTGTGTGTGTGTGTGTGTGTGTGGTGCTGGGGATTGAACCCAGGGCCTTATGCAATGCTTGGTAAGTGCTCTGCCACTGAGCTGCACTCCTACCCTCAGCCCTGAGCCAATAAACACTTCATGCTTTTGCTCATGCTGCTGTTCTGAAACATTCCTTCTCCCACTTTCTTCATACAGGAGTCTTCATAAGCTTGCAGTCTGACCATCTAGACTTAGATCCAGGTCTCCTACGCTGCTTTGTCCTACCCACCCTGTATGTACTTATTTCATGGCTCCTGTAATATGTGTTGCCTTTGCCCTGAAAGACTAAAAAGTATTTTAAAATATGATTTTTTTACTCATGTATTTCTAGTCCCTGTTGCAGTTCCAGGAACCTTAATTGATCAATATCTGTGTTTCAGCTGATAGCTAAGAGAGCTAAGTAGTTGTTCTGACTTGGGAGCAGAACTACCCCTGAAGGAAAGAGAGTGGCTTGGTTTTGAAAGACTGGGAGGTGTGACTGTCATTTGCAGGTGGAGTCTAGGCATGCTGGAGGTCTTACACTATTGGATCATTCCTGCTCAGCTAAGAACTGCTCTCAAATACCAGTGACACCTCTTTGAGAACCACTGCACTTAAAGACAGCTTACTCTGCTTTCATATTCAATGGATAGGTGAATGGATAAATAATTTCTCAATGATAAATATTTCCCTGATACTTTTGTTTCTCTGTCAAAGCATAATGCACAATTAGGATATCATATTAGTTATCCATAGCTGTGTAACAAAGTACCCAAAACCTCAGTAGCTGAAAACGACTAACATTTATCTGACAGTTTATCTGGTTTGGGGATTTGCCAGACACCTGCCCCACTGACTCTGCATCAGCATCTCCTGTGACACGGTAAGCAAGTTGCCAAGAAGGGCTACACCTGTCCCAAGGTGCAGTGGGGAGCTGATCCCTCCTATACACATTCAGCCTCAACTCCTTACCATGTGGGCCTCTCCACATAGCTATCCTGGTGAGGCTGCCAGACTGCATCAGAGTTCCCAAGAAAGAATCATGTTCTCTTATAATCTGAGAGGTGATGTCCCATCACTTTGTCCTGTTCTGTTAATTGGGGTTGAATCAGGCCAGCCTGCACAGGGGAGGGAGGACACAGGAAGCAGAGAGCACAGAGATGGCTGTGCTGGCCGCAAATAGATGATAAGCCTTTGTTCCACAAGGCCTCATGAGACTTGCTTCTGATTCAGCAGGGTTTGTGCTTTTCAGATATCATTTGAGGATGTTGCTGTGGACTTCACATGGGAGGAGTGGGAGCTGCTGAACCCTACTCAAAAGAGCTTGTACAGAGATGTGATGTTGGAGAACTACAGCAGCCTCGTCTTCCTGGGTGAGATGTTCTGTCATTGTGTGTCTATTATCTGGGACTCTAAGGAGCTTATTGATTTGGATATAAGTTTTAGGTGTCAGAGAGGCCCAGATTTCTATACCAATTTGGAAGATACAGTGATTTGATTTATTTTACAGCCTTTGAAATAAAAATTCTTCACACTTTAGTCTCTCAGCTCAAGTAACTGGGTCCAAGTCCTCTGTTTTCCAGTTAACAGGTTATCAGATCACCAAGTCTGTTGCAGTTTTCAAGGTAGACCAGGAAGAGTCCTGGATAATAGATGAAGAAATTTTAAGTCAGAACTTTCCAGGTGAGAAGTAATCAGTTGTGTCAGAAACAGTGGAACTTAAATCTCAGGTTTTTGGTGATAGCTAAGTACTTTTGCAATGTTGTTCATAAATTATACTTAAAGTTCCTAAATCTTTACAGTTGATTCAAGACAGGTAACATGAGTTGTAATTTTTAATTAATGTGCTCTATAACCTAGTTTCTACATCTCTGCATGTTTATAATGAAATGTATCTTTTTTTCAGTTTTGCAATACTGGGGATTGAATCCAGGGCCTTCACACTGAGCTGCATCTCCAGCCCTTTTTATTTTTTAGTTTTTGAGACAGGGTCTTACTAAATTACTGAGTTGCCTAGGTTGGAATTCACCTTATAATCTACCTGCCTCAGTCTCCCAGAGTGCTGGGATTACAGGCATGAGCCACCACATCTGGCTAAAATGTACCCTCTTACCTGAGGAGTACACATATCTACAGCCAGTCATTTAGAACCCTGCCTTCTTAAGATAAAGCAGTTTTTCTAATTAATTAGTCTCTTTCTCTGTCTTATTCCCAGCCCCCAATCTAACCTGTAGAGGCAAGCTGTTGTCTTCCTCCTTAATAATTTCTGACTTTTTCTCATTTTAGATGACACTTACTACTAGTGAGTTTTAGTTCAATCTAAAAGCATTTAAGTTTCTACTTTTCTTCCTCTTATTTGACAGATTTGCTTTAGAGAGAATAGAAGGAGGCTCCATGGATTCAGAATAAAAATCTAATACTATAGGGCCGGGGATTTAGCTCAGTGGTTTCACTGCCTGCTGTGCAAGCGCAAGGACCCAAGTTCGATCCCCGGTACCAAAAAAAAAAAAAAATAATCTAATACTATAAACACAGTGAGGACGCTCTGCCTCTTCCCTTCCACTGTTTTGTCTTTTTTCCAAATAGCATATTCACTAATTCAGTATTTGAACATGAAGCAGTTGGTTTAAAGTGCAAATTAGTGAGCAAGATTAAGGATATAGAAGGAACTGCTTTAGAAGTTTAATAAGTGAACAGCATTTATGCACTTAGGAGTGCATCAGTGAAAAACACAAGCTTTTTCCCTATCTTTATGAGGTTTATACTGCCCTGGGAGAGACAACAAAAGCTGAGTACTTATTAGATAAGTACTATGAAAGAAGTAAACGGGGTACTTGTTAGTGTAATATGTAGTGATAATTACATTTAGCCTGGCATAGTGGCACATGCCTGTAGTCCCAGCCCTTGGGAGGCTTAGGCAGGAGATTGCCCCAAGTTCTAGCCCAGCCTGGGCTACACAATGAGGTCAAGGCCAGCCTGAAATACATAGCATGATCCTGTCTCAAAAAAAAAAAAAAGATGTTTAGATTTGAAGGGCCAGGCATACTGAAAACTGGGGAGAGCATGTCAAATAGAAGGATCAGTGAATGCAGATATCCTAAGGCAAAAAATGACTTTGTGATTAAATTAGGGAGAGCATGATTATGAGATTGTCTTATGAGATAAAATTGAAGAGCTTGGAAGAAACCAGGTTGTATGAGAGCTTGCATGCTATGATGAAACTTTGAATTTATCAGAGTTTTCAAGTAGAGCCATGAAAAGATCTGATTCTATTTTGTAGATTAGTGGCTGCTGTGTAGAGACTAATATTGGAAGCTGGACTAGAAATAGAAATATAATTTTGGGAAAATAGGATGAAATAAGAGTTAGGGGCCAGTGTGTGGCAGAAACAGTGTTAAGTATATGTGCTCTCCTATACATAGCACTTACAATGGTCCACCTGTTTTCCAAAATGATAGGAGGTGCATGCCTATAATCCAAGCACTGAGACTGGAGGATAGCCATTAGTTTGAGGCCAGCTTGGGCTACATAGTGAGTTTAAGGGTCAGCCTGAACTACATAGTGAGACCTTGTCTCATCACCCCCTAAAAAATTCCAAGATTTTCTTTCCCTTTAAGATTTTCTGACACAGTTGAATATCTAAATCTTTAAATCTATAGATGAGCTGCTTTATTGTCTGGTATCAGTTAATTCACTAATTTGAAAAAAATTACATATATATGTATGTATAGGTTTATTTTAGGGTTGGGGGGGGAAGGGGACAGTACTGAGAATTGAACCCAGGGTGGTCTCACTGAGCTACATCCTGAACTCTTTAATTTTTTATTTTGAGACAGAGTCTTGCTAAGTTACCCAGACTAGGCTTGAACTTGTGATCATCCTGCCTCAGCCGCCCACACTGCTAGCATTACAGCTGTGTGTCACCACACCTGACTATATTTTTAAATTTTAGTTCTTGATTTTAATTTATTGATTTTTTTTTTTTTTTGGTACCAGGGTTCAAACTCAGGAACTTGTGCTTGCAAGGCAGACAGTGGAACCACTGAGCTAAATCCCCAGCCCTCTTGATTTTAATTTAAAACTGTTGTTTTTCTGTCCTCTCACACTTTTAAACAGCTTGCTATATACTCTTTGAGTGGATTTCACACCTCATATGTCTGTGATTCTTGCTCTTTTTTTGGTCCATGGGATCGGGTACTTGCACTTGCGAGGCAGGCGGTGGAACCACTGAGCTAATTCCCTGGCCCTTATGATTCTTGCTTTTGATCTCCAACCTTCTTTCCATTGTCTTTCATTTCCATGAATTATGTCATCTTTATTCACTCATGCACAAAACACAGCCCCCTTTCATTGTGTTCCACATCAGCAGCTCAAGTTGCTTCTTCTTTTTTTCTTTTCCTTTTTTTTTTTTGGTACTGGGGATCGAACTGTGGTCCTTGCGCTTGCAAAACAGGCGGCGGAACCACTGAGCTAAATCCCCGGCCCCTTTTTGTTTTTTTTTTAAGAGTAGGAAAAATTCATTGAGAGAAAGAAAGCTTCTGTCTAAGAGATACAGAGAAGGACTGGAAAGTGGGTTGCCCACACACACACACCACTTCTCAAAGGTGTTTTATACAGCAAAGCCATGAGGTGAGGCAGGTTCAAGTTGCTTCTTCATTTGAATTCTTTTATTTTTTTGGTACCGGTAATCAAACTCATGACCTTGCACTTGCTGGGCAGGCATGGCCCCACTGAGTTACATCCCTGGCCCTTGAAAGTCTTTTGTTTAAGGATTAGATAGATTCCCTTCTCCACTCAAAAAAAAAAAAAATTCTCTCCTAGAAGCCAGGTGTGCTGGTACGTGCACAGAATCCAGGCACTCTAGAAGGCTGAGGCAGGAGAATTACATGTTTAAACCTAGCCTGGACAACTTTTAGTGATTTAGTCAAACTCTTTCTCAAAATAAAAAAAGATGAGGGTGTAGCTCAGTGCAAAGGCCCTGGGCTCTATCCCCAGTAGACACTCAACCCACAAGTTATCTTTCAGAAAAGGAATAGTTGCTTTATATTTGAGACCTTGCCAAATCTTTCATCTTGTGGAGTACCTCCTGGGAATATTATCTCACAATTGCTAGTAAATAATGTCCTCAAAAAGTAAAAACAAACCTTTTAAAAGTTTACTATGAAATTATATAATAAATGACTCTTCTGGAAGTCATAAACAATTGTACTTACATGGTGTGTAAGATCTATTGAATGTTATTCGAAGAATAATTTCTATTCAAAGAATAGAATTAATTCAAAGAAATAATTTCTATTGATAACAGTATATTTAGATTTAAGGTATATAGATTAAACTATAGATCCAACTAAAAAGGGATGATATCCCTAGATAAAAGTATTAAAGTTGAGCCTTGGTTAACTCTATTTTGTTTTGTTTTGTTTTGTTTTGGTACTGGGGATTTAACTCAGGACCTTGCACTTGTGAGGCAGGAGCAATGCCACTGAGTTAAATCCCCAGCCCAAGTCCTGGTTAACTTTTTTTTTTTTTTTTTTGGTCAAGCCCTGGTTAATTCTTGAATAATTCCACGAAGTACCTGTAGTGATACTGAAGTTAATGATGTCAATGAGTCAGTTATAATCTTGAATGAGAATGTTTTTTAAATATAACAGTAGTCAAGATATTGATTTTTTTTATCTTTCAGGTGTAAGGTGATATCTCATATTTACCGTGCGTCATATCTAGTCATTTTTCTTTTGTTCCTTTCAACAGGGTGTACTACTATTACTCTTCTGTGTACTTGTTAACCTCACATTTCACTGATTGTTAAGCTCTGAAGGTTGGGTCCTTGCTTACCTGTGAGGCTCTCTGATGTTTGTGTACTTAACTGGGAGGTTCTGATGGTTGAGTACCTACCTGACAGGGACTGATGGCTGGGTACTTACCTGTGAGGCTCTGATGGTTGGTACTCACCTATTATTAATCTTCTGAAGCTAATAAAGTTCTGGAAATATAGAAGAAAATTACAGATAAATACATGTATTTATAATTAATTTCTGTTAACATTTTCAATGGCCCATAAGTAGATATTATTTGAAGGATCTCTCCACCCCCACGATGCTTGGCTGCATTTCAGAAACTTAATTCATACTCATGTGGTTCGCTTTTTTTCCTCTTTAGAAGTCTGGCTAGACAATAATTCCAAAATATGGCATCAGGATAATCAAGACAAAAGTATGGAGAGAGGGCATGGATATGATGTTTTGGGGAAAATATTTAATTCAAGCTTGAACTTTGTTCATTTAGGAATAAGACATCATGAATGTGCCTCAGGTGAAAAAAGTTTGAAACACCCTTTCGATTTTCTTACTCTGAAAAATAACTGTGGCAGAAAAAAATTTGATGACCTCTGTAAAAAATTATTTTTTTACATAAAACCTGGCAATATGTTTGGTGAAATAAAATACTATGGTTGCAACAAATTTAGAAAAACCAGCATGAAAGAATCATGGCTCATTCCAAATCACGTAACACATACAGGAATCTATTTATGCATGGAGTGTGGCAAAGTTTTTACGAAAAAGTCACAGCTTGCTCTGCATCAGAGAACTCACACAAGAGAGAAGCCCTACCGGTGCAGTGAATGTGGGAGAACCTTCTCACAGAAGTCCTTGCTTACTCTTCACCACAGGACTCACTCAGGAGAAAAACCCTATGGGTGTGGAGAATGTCCTAAGGCTTTCAGCCGGAAATCATTGCTTGTTCTGCATCAGAGAACTCATACTGGAGAGAGGCCCTATGCATGCAGTGAGTGTGGGAAAGCCTTTAGCAGGAAGTCACAGCTTAAAAGACATCAGGTCATTCACACGGTAGAGAAACCCCATGGCTGCAGTGACTGTGGAAAAGCTTTCTCCCAGAAGTTGAAGCTCATCACACATCAAAGAAAGCATACAGGCGAGAAGCCCTATAAATGTGGTGATTGTGGAAAGGCTTTCTTTTGGAAGTCACAGCTGATTACTCATCACAGGTCTCATACAGGGAAGAAACCCTATGCATGCAGTGAGTGTAAAAAAGCCTTCAGCAGGAATTCACTCCTCATTCGGCATCAGAGGATTCACACAGGAGAAAAACCCTATGAGTGCAGTGAATGTGGTGAAGCCTTCATCAGAAAGCCACAGCTTGTCAAGCATCAGATAACCCACACCGGGGAGAAGAATCACCAATGCAGCGATTGTGAAGAAGCCTTCTTCAAGAAGTCAGAGCTAATAAGACATCAAAAACTTCACTTAGGAGAAAAACCCTATGGGTGTGTTGAATGTGGGAAAACCTTCTTTGGGAAGTCACAGCTCCTCACACATCAGAGAACTCACACTGGGGAGAAGCCTTATGAATGCAGTGAATGTGGGAAAGCCTTCACCCAGAAGTCAAGCCTGATCTCACACCAGAGAACACACACAGGTGAAAAGCCCTATGAATGCACTGAGTGCAGGAAAACCTTCAGTGAGAAGTCAAGTCTCATTCATCACCAGAGGACTCATACTGGGGAAAAGCCCTTTGAATGTAGTGAATGCAGGAAAGCTTTTGCCTGGAAACCACAACTCCTGAGGCATCAGAGAATTCACACAGGGGAGAAGCCCTACAAATGCAGTGAGTGTGGGAAAGCCTTTGTTCAGAAGGTGCAACTCATTAAGCATCAGAGAGGTCACACTGGAGAGAAAATTTATGGTTGCAGTGATTGTGCCAAAGCTTTCTATGAGAAGGCACAGCTTATCATTCATCAGAGAATTCATACAGGAGAGAGGCCTTACAAGTGCAGTGAATGTGGGAAATCTTTCACTAGAAAGTCACACCTTATGAGGCATCAAAGAATTCATACAGAAAATAAATACTATGGATGTAGTGAGTGTGGCACCACCTTCCACAGGAAGTCACAGCTCATCCTACATCAGAGGAGTCATGTGATATAGAAGTCACATGAGTGCAGTGATTGTGGAAAGCTGCTCTCTGATGGCACACAGACACTTCTGAGGGCGTATGTAAGAGACACCCCTGAGGAGACCGTGACTACTGGAAAACCATTAATACAGAGTCAAGAGTCACTATATAATTCAGAAAGTAGAATGATGTAAAAGTAGACAGTGGAAAACCCTTCTTCCAGAAGATACAGCTCATTGCTAGTTGGATGACTCCTCCCAGTGAAATGTTACCAGTATTACAGTGCTGGCAATACAGTAATATAGAAGCTTTGAGTCTGAAGTCCAGGTATTCATCATTTAGAACACCTGAACATGAGGAAAAGCTGTTGTACCAAGTGAATCAAGGGTATCAGGTAATGGCAACTCACTGAACTCTAGAGAATGCTTACAGAAAGAAACACTGAACATTACATCTCAGAGACTTAATACTGAGAGGTATTCTGATCATTTGAAGAGAAGGATAAGCATAATTCTGTTGAAATAATATTGTAAGGAGGTTGTGTTTACTGTATATGAATTATTAGAAAAAGTAGTTGATTTTGTCACAGGTGTATTAAGGGTGAAGACTTTTGCTTCTGCTGTAGTGGAATAACATGGGTCAGATTAACTCTCTTGCCTTAAACATCTAGAAACTAAAATATATGTGAAATTCTTTCTTTTTATTTATGTTTTTAATTGACATCATAATTGTAAATATTTGTGGGAGAAAGTGGCATTTTGATATGTGTATACAAATGCTGATGCTAGATCAGGGTAAGTGGTGCTGCAATCACCTCAGACATTTACTGTTTCCTTGCATTAGTGATGAATAAAACCCACTTCGTTATGTACTCAGAAATGTGCAGCTAATTGATGCTAAACACAATAGTCCTGCTGTGCTTTGGAACATTAGAACTTATTCCTTCCATCTAGCTGTAACCCTGACTTGCTATCCATCCCCTCTGCATCTGTCTTGATCCATACTGTTCCATGGCTCTGGGGACCACTATTTTATATTCCTTTGAGATCAAGTTTAAATTCCATGTGGAAGTACTTGGGTTTCCCTGCCTGACCCCTCACTTCCCAAGAATTCCCCAGCTCCACACATGTTGGTACAAATGCCTTGTGTGTGTGTGTGTGTGTGTGTGTGTGTGTGTGTGTGTGTGTGTGAGAGAGAGAGAGATACTGAAAACCAGGGCTTTTCCACAAAGATAAATCCTCAGTTCTTTTTAATTTTTACTTTGACATAGGGTCTCTCCAAGTTGCTAAATTGCCTAGCCTGAGCTTGAACTTGTGATATTCCTGCTTCAGCCTCCCCAGAGTGCTAGGATTACAGGATTTTGTCACCATTACATTTTTTTATGGCTGAATAATATCTCAGTGTTTACAATTTTCTTTGTTCGTTCATGCATCAGTGGATACCTAGGTTAATTCCACATCTTCACTAATGATAGTTTTTGGACACAAAGCACAGGTTTCTGGTCCCTGGCATAATGTAGATAAATTGAGTGAACCCTATAGTCACCTGCCTGCTTCTTGGTGATGGTTTTCAAGTTGCTGTTCAGAGACGGGATTGGTGAATTGAAGAAACAGGAGTGGCATTTCGGGAGGCCACAGGAACTAGAATTTACAGGGAAAGGTGCCGTAGAGAAGGAGGCTTTGGAGGGATGGGGCTTCAGAAATCTGCGGAGAGTCCCTGTGAATACTTAGGCTTGGTCAATATTTGAACATCTGTGAAAGAAAACTTCTTGAGATTAGGAAAGACAGCCCTGGAAAGCACTAGGCTGAAAACTCCTGGGACTCAGGAAGGGTTGGGAATATTTCAGGTTCCCATGAACTGGAGTGGAAACAACACATGGGCAACAGGCAACACTCTCCAAAGGGTCTTCTTAGAATAGTGTAGATAATGAGCTGGAGATGAAACCTACTCTATCCCCTCGTAGTGGCACACTCCTGCCTCTGTAATCCTAGCTACTCAGGAGGCTGAGGCAGGACTCAGCATGGACTCAGGTTCAAGTCCAGGATGGGCAACTTAACATGACCCTGTCTCAATTTTTTTAAATGTCTACAGATATACCTTAATGCTTCTTGGGCTCAATTCTCAGTATCACAAAATGAACACACAAAATCATTCCAGAGACTTCACACCACATTTCCCATCACAAACTCTGCAAAAGCAAAGCTGTTTTTCCTGAAATTAAATCAGACTGGCTTCACTTATCATCCCATGAAGCAATAACGTTAAGCTAGTTTCCTAAGGGGCCCAGTATGGATGGCACCATATCATATCATCTGATAAGTATCTCCTTCCTACTGGGTGGGCTCCTGCCTGTACTCCAGCACTCTGGGAGGCTGAGGCAGGAGAATCACAAATTCAAGCTCACCTAGGTAATTTATCAACTTAGCAAGACCCTGTCTCAAAACAGAAAAGGGTTGGAGATGTAGCTCAATGCAAAGACCCTGGGTGCAGTCCCCAGTGCCAGATACACACACAAATTAGTTCACCTTCCTTTTGCCTCTCATTCCCTCTCACTGGCATGAAACTTCATTTACAGAGAAATTACTGTTACTCATCTGCACAATAGTTTTTTTCTTCCCATTGGGTTTGTGCAGGTTTTCTCTTTGGACAATTATGGCAGGTGCCACTCTGTAATCTTTGTTAATGAACTTGTGTGTCACTCTGGTCCAGTCCTTAAGGAATTTGGTATTGAATGAAGGAAATATTTTGAAGCCAGATGTAGTGGCACATGTCTGTAATCTTAGCACTCTGGGGGCCTGAGGAAAGAGGATTGTAAGTTCAGGCCCATCCTGGGCTACTTAGTGAGACCCTGACCCAAAACAAAACGCATTTAAAAAGGGTTGGGGATATTACTTAGTGTGAAAGCACTGAGATCAATACACAGCATGAAAAACAGGGAGGGAAAGAGGAAGAGGAGGAGGGAAGAGAAGAGAGGAGAGAAGGAAAGGGAGGGAGGGAAGAATATTTTGAGAGTGGGCATAATTAGAACATAGCATTGTTAAGGTACCTTTAATGGTTTTTTTTGTGATAGTACTAAGATAGTCTATATATGGTGGGAGTTATTTGTTTTTTTGAGACAAAGTCTCACTATGTAGGTTAGGCCAGCCTTGAACTCACTAGCCCAGGCTGGCCTCTAACTCAGAGCGATCCTCCTGCCTCAGTCTCCTCTAAGTGCTGGGATTACAGATGTGTACCACCACACCCAGCCCATATGATGGTTTCTACTGTCAGAATTCTTCTATACCCCCTTCAGTTGCAATACACTGAAGGGACAGGCCCTTCTCCCTCATGCTATCCTTGTCAATTTTATCTCTCATGATAACTCCGCAACACTGAGCAGGCAATGTAACTTCTCATGGCAAGTGGAACCGAAAGAAATTCAACTAAGTTTGATTTGAAGTATGCTTTCCTCCATAGGTTTGTACCTGTTACCATACCCCATTCCCAGATCTTGTATGCCTTCATAAGTAGATTTGTTTTGAGGCTCTCTAACAATTATTTATGGGATCTTTTTCTTTGTAGGGTTTTTTTTTTTGGTACCAGGGATTGAATTTGGGTCTTTGTGCTTGCGTAGCGGGCAACGGAACCACTGAACTAAATCCCCAGCCCTGTAGGGTTTTTTCGTATGATTATTACTTTTTTTTTTGTTCCAGGGAGATTATTACTTATTTTATCCAGGTATTCTTAACATCTTGTCCTTGAGACTATTAATTTCAGAAGGCTAAAAGTAAACTAGGGAACACCAAATTTTTTTAACAACACCTGAATCATCTAAGGTGCCCAGCAAAGAAATGTTACTGTAGCTGCATTCACTGGCAAGATGAATAGAAAGAGAAATGGAAGTAAAGGGACATTTATAACTTGAAGTTCTCATTTAAAACAGTCCTATCATTTTCATATGTTTAGGGCTGGAGGTGTAGCTCAGTTATAGCGTATACTAAGTATGTGTGAGGCCTTGGGTTCAATCTCTAGCACCAAAAATAAATATGTTTCAAACACAAATCAAGCTCAGATTCACAATAAAGGGTGTCATGGTAGCAAATTAGATACATTAACTTTTTTTTTATTTTGGTAGTGGGGATCAAACTCGGGTCCTTGTGCTTGTGCAGCAGGTGGTGAAACCACTGAGCTAAATCCCTGGCCCTACGTTAACTTTTGAGTGTTAATTTTTAGTCATTTTGTGAGAGGAACATTGAACAATGACCTTAGCCAGGCACAGGGGCATAAGCTTATAGTCCCATTGCTCAGGGGACTGAGGCAGGATTGCTTAAGCTCAGGAAAGTAAGACCAGCCTAGGCAACAATGAAAAACTTTGGCTCAAAAAGAAAAAGATGGGCCGGGGATTTAGCTCAATGGTTCTGGCGCCTGCCTTGCAAGCGCAAAGTCCCAAGTTCGATCCCTGGTCCTCCCACCAAAAAATAAATAAATAAATAATTGGGGACATGGATGTTGCTCAGTGGTGCTGCACCTGCCTCGAAAATGCAAGATCCTGAGTTCAATCCCCAGTACCAAAAAAAAAAAATTAAAAATAAACAACTGGTGTCCCCACTGCAGCCACCCACATGGTACTGAAGGTTCATCCCCAAATCACAGTGGCATGAGCCACCTCAGCAAGGGTGTGAGTAAACAATGTGCATGGTGTCTGGCTCTGAATAGTGTTTACCTGAGGGAGGATGTATCAGACTATGAAATCTGAGATCTAGGACTGGCTCTGCTCCACATAAAAGGGTGGGGAGATAGCTGTCTGGACGTGAACATTCTGTGAGGCGCATATGTAAGCTGTAGACACATGCGTCTGTGCTGTGTTAGAGGAATATCTCTGTTCCTACGTGTTCACTGAGTAAACTCTTTCATGGATGGATATGTGTGGTCATTGGAAACAATTTGCAGATGAATTCTGGCATTCATCCCGACTAGATATCCTAAACTATGTTTCACTCATGTCCAGGGTGCTGTAATCTAGGTACACCTAAACCATAGAGGGAGCACTTTGTGGCTCGGTTGTAGTTATAAGTCAGTGCTGTGGTCTACCCCTAGCTCACCAGGCTGGGGTCTACAGAGAGAGCATGGGTAAACCTAAGGACTCCCCTGGACCTTTGAGGTGTAAACATGTAGTACACCAGTAAGTTAGAGGTACTGGGAGCATAACTTCCAAGAAATCGATAAGGCAGTGCAGAAGAAGGGTCAGCACATCCATCTTGTCTGCAAAGCAGGGTCTCAAGAGTCACAGGGATGGAAATTCCAGACACCAACTGATGCAAATCCCTGTGTTGACAGGCTTTCTTGCCAAAGATGGCAAGAAGTGAGGCACAATGCCAGAACTGGGCTCCATGTTTCCACACCAGCACTGTGCCTGGGATTCCTTTCCTGTCACAATGCCTTTGCCACATGAACAGGTGCAGTCAGGTCCCTGGGTTGACTGATGCTGGAGTGCAAGTATTAAATTGCATGCATTGGGAGAGTTTTGCAGTGCAAAGAACAAGAAGTCAGCATCCCTGACATTTGTTAATGAAGTGGTACCTTTCTTTGGGTGCAGGGATGGTTATGGTAGGTTAGCTCTACAGTGGTGCTGACATTTCACCCATTTGATGCCTCGTTCATCGCTCAGAATTCAGCACCCATGAAAGTCCCAGTTCCAGATGGCAGAGATTGGGTTGAGCCCAAGTACACTCCTCTAGGAACCAACCACTTTTTCCCTTACAGTTATTACATTGCACTCCCCCCTTCACAAAACAACCAAGTTTTTTCAGTTAACTAAAAATCTGCTCATAGATTAAGCCAGGAAGATTGAGGGTCTGCAAAAATCAGAAGAAAGCATACTTCATTTGCATTGTTAGTCACTTTACTGCTTTACAGTGTTTTAGAAATTATTTAAGCTTTTTGGGTTCCAGTTTCCCAATCTGTAATAAACATACTATAAAAGGAGCAGCAAGAGCCAAAGTGTGGGTTTAACCAAAGTTGGAGGTCTGTGCTAACAGGTGGGTCCCACCCTCCCAACAGGTGTGGTACTATAGTGCTGTGTCCAGCTCCTGGAAAAGGATGGTGGGCAGTGGTGGCCAAGGAGAGGCTGAAACCACTGGCAGTGGACACAGGGTTCTGCCCGCACTGCTTTGGAACATTTCAGAAGGTCCTTAAAATTAGTCAGATGCACAGAGTAGAAGAGAAATTAGTGATACAGAAAGCAAACATATAATAGAGATGGTCAAAATTATTAACACTATTTGAAAAGGCATATCACATGAAGAACCTCTCAAAAATTAATTGAGAAAAACTAATGAGAAAGTTTTAAAAAATTAATAGAGAATAACAGGCTATCCAGGTGTGGTAGTGTATGCCTGTAATCTCTGAGAGACTGACGCAGTAGGATCACACGTTCAACCCCAACCTGGGCAACTTAGTCACTTAGCAAAACTGTCACAAAATAAAACCTGGATGTGGTGACAAATGCCCATAATCAGCACTCTGGAGGCGGAGGCAAAATGACTGCAAGTTTGTGCCCAGCAATTTAGTAAGACACTGCCTCAAAAATCCAAAAGGGATGTAGTTCAGTGTGAAGCACCTTGTTTCAATCCCCAGTACTGAAAAAAAACAAAAACGACAAGAAACCCCAACAAAATACACAAACCAAACAAAACATATAGGCTGATACATTTGAAAATTTATTTTACATTTATATAACATTTTTTTCTTCTGTTTTATTTTATGAAAAAATAAAAATACAGAACACTTCACAAATTTACATGTCATCCTCAAGCAGGGCCAATGCTAATCTTCTCTCTATCATTCCAATTTTAGTATTTGTGCTGCAGAACTGAGCACCATTTGAAAATTTAGATCAAATAGTTCCTTTTTCAGAAAATACAGAGACCAAAGTCACTTTGTGTACTGAAAAAAAAATCCAAAATTCTAGTGAATGCAGTCCAGGAATATAGCCAGGCATAGTGGCGGATGCTTGTAATCCAAGCACTTGGGAGGTTGAGGCAGGAAGATCACTGCAAGTCCAAGGTCATCCTGAACTACATAGTGAGACCTTGTCCCTGAAAAGCAAACAAAAATCCAGAAATATATTAAGAACAACAGTGCAACATACTATAGAGATACTTGCACACCCATGTTTCTGGCAGTGCAGTTCACAATAACCAAGATACAGAGCCAGTTGAGGTGTCTGTCAATGTAGTGACTTAGGAAGACCCTATCTCAAAACAAAAAATAAAAATAGGACTGGGGATCAGCCCTAAGACCCAGAAGAAAAGAAAAGAAAGAGGAAGAGAGACAAGGAAAAAGAAAGAAAACAAGCAAGCATATAGAACACCTGAATATTCTTTACCTGATTTATCTACTGGAAAAAGCTCACCCTCACTTGCTTTATTTGTGTGGTGACAAATGAGAGAGAGTGTGTATAGTAGTTCTTGAGAATTACAAGCAAGGTGTGTGTAATGTTTATAATGTCCTTCCTTAAAAGAGTTTCCCCTCTAGCACTGTGTTCAATCTAAGAGTATGTACTGCACTTAGATGTTGTGTCTTTTTGAGTCCCACAGTCTTACACATGGGCATAGTGGTGTGTTCTTTGATGTGGACACTCCTGAGGATTCTTCCTCACTCCTGCCTTTTGACAGAGTGACCCTCATTCAGGATTGTCTGATGTTTCCTCATGGTGAAATCAGGGAATATAAACTTTTCTCTTTTTCTGCTAGAATACTCCCTACAAGATGACATGAACTTCATATCAGACTGCATTGATGAACTTACTTTCTTTCTTTCCTTTCTTTTTTTCTTCTTTCCTTTCTTTTTCTTCGCTCTCTCTCTCTCTCTCTCCCTCTCCCCCCCCCCCCCCCCCCCCCCCCCCCCCCCCCCCCCCCCCCCCGTGCTGGAGACTGAACTCCAGTGGCAGCACCACTCGGCTAAAGCCCTGGCCCACAAAATTTCTATTAGAACAAATTTTGGGTAGGTTAAGATTGATCAGAGGTGTCAGGTTAAAAATCCACCTTAATAAAGTTGGGTTTTTGTTCTTAAAATCAGGAAGTAACCTATGAGTTGGTAATACAGCATTTACTAAATATCCAGTTCCCCTCAAGCCTTTTACCTAATGGTTTTTGGGGGTTTTTTTGGTACTTGGGATTGAAGTCGGGACCTTGAGGTTGTGAGGCAGGCACTGGAACCACTGATCTAAATCCCTGGCCTACCTAATGGTTTTAACACATATTTGTGTATGTGTATAAATGAATAGTTTCATGGCATAGAATATTGGCTACTTTTCTCAGTCTATAATTTCTTCTATATTTAGTAGTTGGCATTCTTCTGTAAAGAGTCTTCCCTCAGCTGGTACAATTTGGTAATTCTAAAATACAATTTCTACTAGAAACTAGAAAAAAATCTCCAGTTTTCCCCTTTTTTCAATTTTTTTTTTCAGTACAGGGAATCTAACTCAGGACCTTGTGCTCGCCAAGCAAGCGAGGCACCACTGAGCTACATCTCTGGCCTCCTTTCCTCAATTTTTAAAGTAAAATGTTGCACAAAGAGATGCAGTCATGAGCCCAAAGGATAAAATGATTTAAAGGAAATGAAGAAAGGTGAAACCAAAACAAATATTGGAGGGACAAACATAAAACATTAGTTCAATGAATCAGCTGAGCATGGTAGCACACTCCTGTAATCCCAGTGGGGCAGGAGGATTGTTGAGTTCAAGATCAGTGTGGGCAACTTAACTAACCCTTAGTGAGACCCTGTCTCAAAAATATATATGTATAGTCTGAGGATGTAACTTAGTTTAAAGCCCCTGCTCCCAGGGCCTTTTAGAATGCAGAATTATGTATCATTGTGTTACATTTGTCCACAATATTCAATACAGCAAATGCTGTTTGTACCTGAGCAGCAATAGTCTATAGCAGTGATGGCAAACCTTTTTAGAGCTTTCAATGATAACAAACAGCCCACTGTGGCTGTTTGTGTGCCATAGGTTTGCCACCACAGGTCTATAGCATATGGCCTAGGTGTGTACCATAGTTAAGCTCCAACACCCAGGTTCATCCAAGTATCGCCCAAGCTCTGTGATAATCACACAGTGAAATTGCCTAGTGAGGCACCTCTTACATCCTTGTCTTTAATGGATGCACAGCAGTATCACCTTCCTTTTTTTTTTTTTTGGTACTGAGGATTGAACTTCGGTCCTTGCGCTTGCGCAGCAGGTGGCGAAACCACTGAGCTAAATCCCCAGCCCAAGCATGCACAGCTGTATATGTGAAAGAGAGTCTCTTCGCTCCCTTTGATACAGGACGCTTGTGGGAACTTGTTGCAGTGATAATGGGAATTAAACCTGAAGTGACAGTACAGATTTACAGGCATAAGCTTTGAGAAAGAAGAGAAGATAGGAAAGGAGTTTCAGCTTTTCCTCTGGAGATAAGCTACTTCTTCTAACTTCCTCATGCTGGGGGCATAACCACCACTCCTTGCTCTCCTCAGTCCAGGTGAGTGGGCAATGTATGTGGAGGCAGGCCCCAGGAGGTGGTGTTTCTTTTCCACAGGGTAGGGGAGAAAAAGAGCAGGAAGGAAGGATGAAGCAAACCTAGGAGTCTGTTGCCTCCTTGTATTCCCTCTCTGCTTAATAAAAGACCTCCTTGCCATAAAAGACCCCTGCACATTTGTACACCATGCGATGGTGATTAGAGGCAAATGAGGCTTCTCCATCTCCCTGGATCTGGCTTTGAATAAAGCCTTTTTCCTTTTCTCCAAAACAAATAGTCTTTGTTTTGGTCATCAGGAGCAAACGGACTGAACGTGCAGACATGAGTGGCCAGTACAACACCAGTATTCCAAGTATGTTTATATATGCATACATCCTTTTTAACCAATTTGGATGCTTGCTCTGAACTTGCCGTACCTTATTTTGGAGTGCTCCGATAGTCCAGACATGGCTTTGTTCTCTGAGCTTCCTGAAATTCCATGGCACTGATGAGCCTTACTGTGTCCAGTTTCTCATCCTGGTCATTTTTTTGCTAATGTCGGGGTTGCGGGGGGGGGGGCGGTATGCATCCTTGAGCATCCTTCATATTACACATAGGAAATCTGATACTCCAAGAGGTGGGGCTGATACAGTATGTGATACAGGGGACGAAGTATGAAAATGTTATTTCTCCCAACCTATTGTCTGATACGCTGAGCTTGTGTTCTCTAAAAATTCAAGAATGAATTCTAGGAACAACGGAGATAAAGAGTAGGAAAATAATGATAGGCTAGCTCCTGAGAAGCAGGAGTGGTCCTGAATAGGTAGCCAGGTACCCTACTTTACAGAGGAGTTGTACAGAGCAAAACCTACTACAGCTCTGATCAACCAATAAGGTTATAAGTATAGTCACTTAGGTAATAGTGATCCAATTGAGAAACAAGTGACTGATATCTATATAGATTTCATTAGGCCCACTGTTTATCCTTTGAGGAAGTATACAGGTGTGGTCATCTCGTCTTTTTCTTGGGGCCTGATCTCCAGCAGATGTGTCTCTGGCCACAGTTGTGATAATTTCGCCTTTGTCCTCTCTGAAGGGCCTAGCCCTATCTGCCTGCAATATTTCTATCTAACTTAGCTGTCTATAATAGGACTGCTGTCAAAGGAAGGATATTTTTTCCACTTTCGATGGAAAGATACCGCAAGGCTGCCCTCCAAGAGTGATCCAGGTTTACACGACCACGGTCACGGAAGATACACTCATTGAAGAGAGCTCGTGCGCTCAGATTTCCCTATCTTTGTAACCCAAGTGTAAAAATGGTATATGAACATACTTTCCATTCACATTTCCCTTACTACAGGGAAAGCGTACCGTTGCTTCTCTGTCTAAAGGGTACCTTACTTTAGGCGAGACTATAAGAACTTGTTTGGACGTCCAATCCAGAAGTTATCCGTCCTTTTTGCCCCAACGCGACATGGCGTCCAGTGCAGCTACTTCAGTGATCCAGGGGCGATTAAGTCGTCCATGCCAGTGTCGAAGATGGCGAATGTGCTCACAGCCCCTCTTCTGCGCAGCCTCCACTAGCCCCAACCGCCCACTCTCGAGGGCCTCCGCAGCTGCCGCTCTAGCCATTGCTCTCGGTGGGCCTACTGCCAGCCAATCGCAGGGCGCGCCGCACAGCCCCGCCCGAGGATCAGCTGAGGGACTGCGATGTCTGTTGACAGCAGCCCCAGCAGAGCTGCCGGTTCCGGGGTTGGCGCCCGGCGTGGGGTGAGCGGCAGGCGGAGGGCGGAGGGCGGAGGGCGGAGGGCGGAGGGCGGAGGGCGGAGCCGTGGGACGTGGGGCAAGCGGCGCGGAGGCGGGGGGAGGCGGCCATAGAAGCCTGTCCTTGCTTGGGGTGGCTCGTCCTCCTTAGCGGCGCTTCAGTGTCTCGTCCTCCTTAGCGGCGCTTCAGTGTCTCATAGATGTGAGTCCAATGGAACTGCCCGGGGAAGACGAGCAGCCTCAGCTTCCGCAGCCCTGGGGCCGGCTTCTTCGCCTGGGCGCGGAGCAGGGCGAACCGCACGTCCTCCTGCGGAAGCGCGAATGGACCCTCGGGCGCCGGAGAGGTGCGTGGAGGTGGCCGGGGACTGGCACTGAGGACGGGAGCGGGGAGCGGGCAAGGGGACCAAGGATGGGGTCGAGGATCGAGCGGGGCAGTGATAGACTCTGAGGAGGGATGGAGGGTGCCCGAGGTGCGGGTAGGACAAGGACGAAGAGGGCGGAGCCCACCCGGTGGGCTGCGGGGTGCACAGGGCCTTCCGGTTCTTCCCACGAAGTGGGCTGTCTGTCCTGTATCACAAATTCCTCTCTACAACTTTATAAAGTTTTGCACCACATCCTCCAGAACAGGATTTTATATTCATTACAATACAAAATTTCTCCTACTGTAGTGGAGTGAAATTAAAAAAAAGTAACAGTGAATATTGGAAATTTCAGTTAGGTAGAAATTAAACACTTTTTTTGTTTGAGATACTATCTCACGGCTTAGTATAGGCAAGGGAGGTCTCAAATTTGCTGTGTAGCCTAGATTGGTCTCAAACTCTACCCTTGCCCCAAGATCATGAGTGCTGGGATTATAGGCATGTGCCACCATGCCCAGCTAGAAACAGATTTTTGTAACTGTTGCTAGTTTTACATCGTCCAATATAGGTAAGTCTATTTTGAAAAATGTTTGTCTCCTTTTAGCAGTGTTAGATTTCAGTCTCAAATTTTTAATAGTTTTGAAAAGTATGTATCATTAGAAACTTTTGAAAAAAACATGTTGTCTTTAACTGATATACTAAAAGGTTTGGTGGAGAATAGGGGCCCTGAAGAGAGACTGCCCGGGTTTCCAACCTGTCAACAACACATAAGTTGCTTTGGGCTAAGGACATACCTTTCTATGTCTTTGTATTGACTTCATAGAGTTGCTGTGAGGGATTAAGGAGATCATACTTAGGAGGAGCCTGGTTTATCGTTAGCATTTAATGTTAGCCACTGTTTTAACATGTTACGAATGTTATTTCTTGTTAAAACATTACATTTTAGGTTAAAACAAGGAGTAAAACATTGAGTTAATCTGCTTCATAGTAGAAATACTGTCAGTGACTACATTAATGATGTTACCAGGAAAACAAAGGTGGTTGTATTAATCTGTTCTTACTACTGTAAGAAAATACCACAATCTAGGTGGTTTAAGCAGTACCAGTTGATTTCTCACAATTCTGGAGTCTGGGAAGTCCAAGCTGGCTAATCTGGTTCCTGCTTGCAGAGAGCTGGATATAAAGCCTTTTGCAGATGTGTGTTTCACAAACATTTCCACCCAGTCTGTAGTTTGTTTCATCTTCTTGGGCAGTGTCTTTTGAAGAACAGATACTTTTTTTGTTGTTGTTGAATGTTAGTTTATCACTGTTTTTCTTTCGCAAATATTCTTTTTGTGTCCTATCCAAGAGGTCCTTGACAGACCCTGCATCGCTAATATTTTCTCTGGTTTTGCATTGAAAGTTTTTTTGTTTTGTTTTGTTTTTTTTGGTACCAGGGAGCGAACTCAGGACCTTGCGCCTGTGAGGCAGGCGGCGGAACCACTGAGCTAAATCCCTGGCCCCTGCATTGAAAGTTCCCTTTAAATTTCACATTTGTCTATGACTGGCCATCCTTGCCACATGGTCTTGATCACTGTCATTTGATAGTAAGTCAGCCAAGTAATTAGCCTTCCAAGTTGGTTCTTTTTCAGAATTGCTTTGGATATTCTAAAATTTTCATCTACGGCCATACCACTTTGAACACTCCCGATCTTGCCAGATATTCTAAAATTTTCCCTGTGAAATTTAGGGTCAGCTTGTTGGTTTCTACAAGCCTTGTGGGATTTTGGTTGGAGCTGTGTTGAGTCTTTGAAGCGGTCCAGGAGAAAACTGGTGACTTAATAGCATTGATTCTTCTGACTACTTCCATTAGCAGCTCCTCCTCAAACCAGTGTTGCTTGAATGAATCTTGCCATGACTTCTGTGGCTATTGGCAGGTGTTGTCCACTTCATCATTTGGGTGCCTGTGTGGTGGCTCCAAATGTTGTGGGCCTGGGAACCCCTGCTGTGAACCCAGCATCTTTGGTGACTTGGCGAGAGTGGTGATATGTCCGTGTCCTCTTCCTCCTTTGGGGGCTATAGAATATCACCACGCAGAAGGTCAGCAACCACCTGACCTTCCATTTGGACACTGTGTGTCCAGAAGTAGACCTGTGGTAAGCTGGAGGCAAAGGTCCAAGGCTGGTATCAGAAGTGAGCTTGCGCTCTTTGGTGACCACAGTACCATCAAGGACCTAAGGGACAATATTTTTCGTGCCATTATGAAGAACTCCAGGATTAACCTGCACGTTGACAACAACACTGATCTGGCTACAGATAGATAACTTCTGAATCAATTTTGAGATGAATGGAGCAAGCCCTGCCTCTGGGCATGGAGGCTGACATCAGTGACCTGCCTGAAGTGCGGGACCACCTACCCTGTCCAGGATCAACTGAACGATGGAGATTGAAGGCCTTGAAGAGATGGAAATTGAAGGAGTTTTCTGTTTGTGGGCCAAGAATCACAAATAGAAATCAGTGCCCTGAGGGCTGGGTGGGTGGCCAGGTCCTTGTGGAGGTGGAGTCTGTTCTTGAGATTGACCTCGCCAAGACTGAGTGGTGTGAGAAGCCAATATGAGGTCATGGCTAGAATGGGAAGAATGCCAAACTGGCTCACTAGCTAGATTGAGGAGCTGAACCAAGAGGTTTCTGGCCACATTGAATAGCTTCAGATGAGCAAGTCTGGAGTCACAGAGCTGTTGTATTGTACCCTCCAGGGTCTTGAGATGAAGCTACAGTTATAGCTCAGCATTAAAACTGTCCCAGAAAATAAAAAAGATGTGTTTTTAAAAATAAAATGGCGTACTACTCAGCCATAAAGAACAATAAAGTAGAGACATTTATAGCTAAATGGATGCACATTGAGGCCATACTCTTATGTGAAATAAATAGCACACACATGTGTAAAGACCGAAGAGTTTCCCTGGTGTGAGAAACTAAAAGTGTAAATAAGGATCAAAATGTATAATTGATAATGTGAAATAGAAACTAGAAATGTGAGAAATAAATCTCTTATTAAAAAAAAAAAGAAATAGGAAGAAAAGGTCCAAATGGGGTAGGGAAGGTGGGAGGAGTAGGGGAAAGGAAAGAAGGGAAAGGAAAAAAATATGAGAAAATGAAAAAATGGAAACAAAGTCTTTGAAAATAGGGAGGGGTGAAGGGTTGGAAGGGAGGGCAAGGGAAGGGGGAAAATAAGAACCAAGATACATCATGTAAAGGTACAAGTTCCCAATGATGAATGTAACTGTATTGTATTGGTAAATGTACCAATAAACTTAATGAAAAAACACAGCTGACCCAGAAAGGCACATTGGCAGAGACAGAGCCCTGCTTTGGAGCCTAGCTGGCACAGGGACTGATGAGCATCATGAAAGCCCAGTCTGTGGACAAGTGTGCTGACACCAAGCTGCAGAACTAGGTGTCACAGACATCAAGTGGTGGCTGGAGCAGTACATTGCCACCTACCAGAACCTGCTTGTGGGCTAGGACCCCTACTACCTCACCCTGCCCACCACAAGGTCCTCTGATGTAGCAGGATTCTGGACTCCTGCCCTCCTTTAGAGGGATTCCCCGGGTCAGGGGGTTCAAGAGGGACACTTAGTCCTGGCTCTTCCCCTGGCCTTCCAATAAAACTGGGAGGAAAACCAAAATAATATTGATTCTTCTGTACATAGACCCTTAGGTCAGTGATGGAGCAAGGCTCAGGCCAGGGCTGGGGATGTAGCTCAGTGGCAGAATACTTGCCTAGCCTCCTTGAGGCTCTGGGTTTAATCCCTAGTACCACCACCACCAAAAAGAAAACAAAAGCTTAGGCCAAAGAAAGTTAAGGTTGTGATTCCACATAGAACATTTTTAGAAGAAAATTTGACTGGTCACTGTCTCCTTAACAAATTCTTCAGTTTTAAATTCCTACAGTATCTATGTAAAGCTATAGACTGCTATTATAAGCTATAGTGATTAGTAATTACGTAGTCTTCTAAAAGCTTTTGTACTTCTGATTTAAGAAAGAACAATTATATATTTGAGAATTTCCCTTCTCCCCTTGCATATAATTTAAGATCTGACTATTCCACTTTAGTGCTTTTCTCTTTTGTTATGTTTTCTTATACATGTACCCATGATAATCTGCTCAGATTTTCTGTGACTGTTTTTGTCATTGTTTCAATTTTGTGATGATTTTTGAAAGTTTAGGTTTCAAAGAAAAAAAGGTTAAGGATTAAGTTAAAATACTGAAGAGTTAATTAAGCCCCTTAGTTTTATTTTAAGTCCTGATATTTATCAGACCAGCTGTTCATGTATGTATGTCATAAAATTGTGCCGAAGGGTTGGATACAGGGATGCCTGTCTGTAATCTCAGCACTCTGGAAGGCTGAATCAGGGGGATTACAAGTTCAAGCCCAGGCTGAACAACTTGGTGAGACCTTGTCTCAAAGTAAAAAAAAAAAAGTACAAAAGTGTGGAAATGTAGCTCAGTGTTAAGATGTCAATTCCCAGTACCACTGGGGGAAAAAAAGCAACAAACTGTTCTGAAGACCCAGCCCTTGGGAGACTGAGGCAGGAGGACTTCAAATTTGAGGCCAGCCTGGGCTACATAGTGAGACTTTGTGTTAAAAAGCAACCAAATTGTCCTGAAGAAGCTGTTGAGGTCGTGATGGGTCATCTTCTAGGCAATGGGGTTCAAGAAGACTCAGGACACAGGCCTCCTCTTTTACTCTGGGCTAAACACTTCACACTTAAACGTCTCCTTTGTGGGCACTTTGGCACATGCTTTGGTAAAGCAAAGGCAGTGGAGTTCACAGAACCTGAGTCATTTCCAGTGTCTTCCTGTCCTCCCTGTTTTAGGTTGTGACCTCTCATTCCCCAGCAATAAACTGGTCTCTGGAGATCACTGTAAAATTGTAGTGGATGAAAAATCTGGTCAGGTGACACTGGAAGATACCAGGTGAGCACTTTCTGAACTTCTTTCT